AGATGTGTACCCGAATGCCGGCCGTGGCTGTCAAATGATCCGAACACACATCTTGTGCTTGTTGGATAGCTAAAGTAGCATACACAAGCTATTGGACAACAGCACCCAGAGTTGCCACAAATGATTGCCGTCTCGCTAAGCCCACGAGGTACAGAAATACGGAAAGCTGAAATACAGATTATCAATCCACTGACGACTACAGCAACAACAACAACAATAACAACAACTTCACGACTGAATAAACATTGGAACCCATTGAAAATTTCGCTAACTTCAGTCCCAGTTCCAAGCACTAAGGCATTATTAATTCATCTATATTTATTCGTCAGATTTTGCTGAAGGTATATGATGCATCCATTCTGGTGTGCATGCGTTTGCAAAACTCGTTGCTTCACACACACACACACACACACACACACACACACACACACTCTTCTGTCCACTATAAATCTGAACAATCGTGGGGCGAAGTATAGTTTGTTTCATCCTACAGATATACGTGGACTTACTTTGACATAAATGTCGGACATTCTTTCGCCAAATATATTGGCCTCCTGAAGTACGACATCGTACGTGTTCCAGACAACAATACGCAGCACATATTCGTCCGGCACACGAGGTGTGATATCCACAGCCGGGCCCGGTTCGCCGAGCGAAACCGGAAACATGTCAACCCACATTTGCAGTTGACCCTGCATGGGATAATGTTGTCCACGTGGTACGCGCACGCACGCACGCACGCACGCGCGCAGAGAGAAGGATGGAGAGAGAGGAAGAAATAAGCGGTAAAGGTGTGTTGTGCAGGCGAGAAATCACGCACACATACGGACCGAGGAGAAGGAATGCGTGCGAAGGAAACAATGTTTGCAAACCAACCAAAGGAAATTTATCTTAAGCATGTATTAGTTTAAAGGAGACTTAGAGTCAGGTGTTATTTTTTGTTCACCTTAAACATGATTAAGTGACTCTGTTGATATATTTCACGCCCAGAAAGAAACACCGTTTAATCGTGATAACTAGCTGCCTGGTATATGCAAGTTNGAACCACGGGCTTCTTGATAGAATATACGTGGTATAGAAACGGGTGAGAGCAAAGTTATCTAATTCCGTTTGTGAGTAGTGATTCCAGGGTTTAAACCCCGACCCGGAGAGCACCATAGTATTAACGGTAGTGATTCAGCAGTGTTGATCACGATTACACCACCCTGGTATATCATGTGCTCAAATGCCATCAACGCTCTGTAACTTCCTCGTTTCTTTCCGTTCCGTGGAAGCCCGTTGGTTGACTACCTCCCCTCTACTAAATCAAATTGATTGTAAAACTGTCTACTCAATAGAAGAAATTTAAAAAAAAACTAAAAAAACATTACTGTATTTTCTTTTTATGCCGCCACTTCCTATTAGAAAATGAGACGGTTTTTTTGAATGTCATAGACTAAGTGTAAAACACTATGACAAGATTGCTCGGTCACCAGAACGCACATAAATATCCATAAATACAATCGTTCCACTGAAAGTCAAAGAATTCTGATCAATGTGTCTGCATCCAACCCCATTGGTTGGTGCAAACTTTCCAATCCCTAATTCTGAAGATCGGTGAAACATAAGAAGACGTGATTTACTGTAACGTAAAAGAACAAAGTAAACGGTTCCCGTGTTGACGTAGCTGGTGTAAACCTCTGGTACAAAGCAAACCAACCAGACTATGATTCCAAAAGACGACAAATGTAGACAGATAATAGAGAGGTCCTTTACCCGGAGGGAGAGGGTGATTGCATAATACTAGCTCACGAAAGCACGTTTGGTCATGTTCGTAAAACATGGCTAGATGTGTGCTGCGGTTACGATACACGCAATGCAAAATTCTCGAGGGCGCAGGATAATTCAGTCAATTTAACTACCTCACATTACCTTTGGCCTGCACTAGCTTATTGTCCGATGGCTACGTAAGTCTAAATATATAAGATTTCCTCTCTTGTTTTTTCCAATAGGCTCCGAACCGATCATGTTTTGTCACAAGTTGTATCTATTGATGTCAACGAGCAGTGGAGCTTTTAAATTGGGACAGGTCACGTGGCTGCAAACAAACAGAAGAGAATGAAATACACAGTTTACCTGCGGAGTATTCGGTTGGAGTGAACTGAAGAGGGACCGGGTTTCAACATGTTCTTTCACGATGGGCAACATGTTGAGCACATGCAAAGCCAGACGCTCTTTGGCCGGTCCCAAATGGGCATTTTTCACCAAACCCCGTTCGAACTGATCCAATTGGAAGTTTCGATTACCCACGCGACAAGTGATTGGTAAATTCGTATCGATCGGTTCGTCGTATTGGGGCGGAGGTAAATTGTACGATTTGCACACGTCCTCAAGCAACGCGGTAGGCACCTTGGAATCACGCCACTGATTCGGTCCAGAGATGGAATAGGATTGTGGTATACCACAAGTAGCACGATATTTGGTCAGTCGACGATTCTCCAAATCAATCTGTGTCTCACCGATGATATCATCCGCTCCGATCACATCGTAGTCCATAACACGAATGCGTAGATCTTTCTCAATTGGCAAACGACATCGTAGCTGGAACATGCTAAAAGTNACTGTGTGGTCGAGTATCAGCATGCAACAGAAAACGGCATTTGTATCTTACGGAGTTAATTTATACCATTATGTATCAGGAACGAATTCCATAACATGATGTTGTCGGGTACTCAGTTGCAACCAAACACAACTCTCACAAAGGCTGATTCCTCAAGTAGCGTCAACATGCCAGTTATACCAATTCAAAGCCCCGAATGCACTTACTGTACAGCTGTTTTGTCTGTCTTCGGAAATGCAAACCCACAGAATTCAAGGAGACTCAAATCCGGGTTTTCGACCTAAAAACCTAGCCCCGTTGACTCTCAGTAGGTTGCTCCATTCTACCACTATTTAATATAGCGCTCGTTCGTCATTGTTGTTGAAAGAACACGGGGCATACCACCAGACAGTTGTAGTCAACTTCTTCATGCACAACTTCTGTCCTCGTACGCCCACTACGATTGAGCAGGAACTCTTTACCTACCTGTAAAAAATTAGTTTGGCAGGGTCACATCCGATATTAGATTGACTCCCCCGTAAGGCAATAAGTTATGTCCCTGTACGAACCGTGATGAATCGAAGTGGTTTGGTGAGGGAAAGCTTGTAAGAGAACAAAGTGGGATAGCCAGAATTCAGGTCAGATAAGGTCAGGTCAGGTCAGGTTTCTAAGACGAAAACAGGCTTTCACCTAACGTGCGTCCAGATTCATACACCAGTAGGATTTTGGACTTCCTCTGGTGCTACGACGTGAATATTGTTTTCTTGGGTTGTTATTCCGTGCACCATGGTTGTTATTCACTAATATTGATCTACTGAGCAGTCTGTTTTATTACTTCGAAATAAGTGCAGGTAATGTTAAGATATGGTCACTGTCACCATGGTCGTACATGACCGTAGCCTACACCAGCTCGTCAACCGTTAATACACCGCTGTTTCTTGTGACGCCGCGAGCCCGGATCTGAAGAGCCTCACACTCTATCACCAGGCAACCCGGACTGGTTCCAGTGATTGATTACATGTGCACATCGCAGAGGCTGTACCACTTATTTATCACTCAGAGATAGTCCGATTCCTTCATGCACCCGCTTCTCAGTATTGGCCTACTCGAACTGTGCAGGCAATGCCGAACTACTGAACATGCTACTTGATTCATTTCAGTAGTGGGAGACTGAATGATTAGAAAATAGTGCATGAACGCAACCGCCAGGGCACAGTTATCGAGATCACTGAGATTTGGACCGAGGGTAACCGATCTTTTATCCGATGTGGTATCCATGTGGGCTTTTCGCGTTGGCAATCAGTAACTTACTCCACGCTGAAACTAAACAACACAGCGCTGAAGCATCACTATCGCTGGATGCATCGGGCTTTAGCGGTGCATGACTCACCACTGACGGGCGCCTTCTTAGCCCTATCAAGTCTATACATGAAATCTGCATCCGTTGCGCATAAATTTCGTTTATGTGAAACAGTGTGGTACATGTGCCATCGACCAATGTGCCACAATTTCGGACACAGAATAGCGCACTGTTCTCAAAACTCTCACACAAATGGTGAATTTGTGAAAATTTGTGAAAATGCATCTGCTTAGTGGAGGATCGACATGTAGAACCAGAATTGATCGTGGACAAACCCGTAAGAATCATTCAATCTCGAGAACGCTTACCGACCGAATTCCGGGTTAAGTGTGTTCGGTATGTAGTTCTTCTTCGAATCTTCTTTCTTGTCTCCAACTCGTACCTCCACATATGGATCGGCCTAAATGGAGTAAAAGATAGAAGTGTATCAGGGGGCTATTAAGACACTTTCTTTTGTTTTCTGACTAGTGCCCACACTACAAACGGGAACATTCTAATCCGTCAAAATGATCCAACAAACCGTGTGCGAGCAACAAATTAACTGGTCGCATCCTCACGGCAGCGTTTGACCGGAGGATAGCGAAACACACACAAACGAGAGTTCAACGTACCAGGCCAGATGAATCGGTTGGTTGCAAATCGATTCCGCGAACCACATACACTCGAACAATAACCTCCTCCGGATCCGTGGACACTGCGCCCTGGTCGAAATAACGCATTGGGAGTGGAGCTGTCGGGTCTTCCGGTAGATCATACATACGGAAACTGCCTTTGAATTCACCGGCGAAATTGTCCTCATCCTCGTCCACATTTTTTCCTTTGGTCAAAGTGAATGTGTCGCAGAAATCAGTGAATCCATGAAATTCTTTCACTTTTTCCAATTCTATGGTATAGACCTGTGGATTTAACAGTGAGAGAGGGAGATTCATTCACGTGCACAACAAACTGTTGGACTGATAATTGAAGAAGCTTGAAGGAAAACCAATGAATAACGATGGATCAATCGACTGTGTTTGCATCATTAGATTCAGCGAGTAAGCAAAAAGAAACAACTCATATCATTAGTAGTAATACATTTGTGAAGCTCGACAATCGGGGAGAGCCTCAAAATAAAATTTAACCTAAATTATTGAGCCTAAATGTAAGAGGGGAAAATCGTTATCGTTGCAGACCATTTATTCAGTTCACAGTTTCAAATTGTCCAGGTTTCTGTGTATCCTGTTTACTGTTTCAGATGACAAAAAAATCTGCTTGATGGAAACCATTACTGTGCTGTATCATTAACTCTGTCTGTCTGTCTTTGTTTTCACTTTATTCGTAACGGTTCCCAAATAAGCTGTTTCACAAAAATTTGAATAACCACATGCATAATTCAAACATTTAACTGATCAGCAGCAATAATAACGATCATCTTCTGAATAATAATGTTCACTAGTATTAGGAAAAGGTTCCCAACGAAATGAGACATCCGTGAAGTTCTCAATCAATAACTGTATTTTCAACTCCATACAATCATGTAATGAACACCAGATGGGGCGGAAACCACAGTCATGAGGACCCATTGTTTAATTATAACTTATACCCTGAAGACGTGTAGTGATTACCAAAAACTCAGTGAATAATTCAGTCGCTCCGGATGGGGAGAGGTCTCAGTGCTCTGTCTGTGTAGTCCCCGGTTCGATCCTCAGTTGGGTCGATAGATTCGCACACTGCTGATTAGACCCAACAAGGTCGAAAGAGTTGTACGAGCAATGTGCCTTACATTTTCACTCCACGCTTCAGTTGCTCCAACCTCTTCTTGTAATCGCATCCAAATCCCTAGTAGTATCCCCTTGCAACAACGAGATTCATGTGTTCCTTAACCGGAAAACAGTAAAGCCACCTACCTCCACAGTTATTCATGTAGCACAGGGCTCCTTATTTAACAAAACTCGTGGTTTTTACTATGAAATGAACGTTCCGTTTACAGTACTGTGTGATGCTTCTATCAAATAATATGTATAAGCATTATTATTGTTCGATGGTAAACCGGGTATAAATTACATAACCGAAAACAAAAGTTTTGCCATGGAAAACGTTTTTCATAGTTTTTCTCGATCAGTAGGGCCCTAAGACTGACTAGGGTCTATTAGGGAAATTAGAGGCTGGTATTGAGACAAATTGTAAAGATTGACAACCAATCACTAGATTTTCTTTAGGATAGATGAATCATAGATTTTTCTGTCGCTTTGGTTCGTAGAATCACTAAAACATATTACCTAATATTACTATCCAGTCACGCTCGTTGTATTCATTGCTGATATCATAATGTCACCGTTTAAAGAATTCTACAACGACGAAACTATCGGAAAAGAGTAAATGGGTGTCATCAATCACGTAGGAGTTCTTCTGTGCACTTGAACTTGTTTTTAATAATGTGCCACCCGATTGAAAACCTTACCACATTCGTCCCAGATCATCTTTTCTACTCTGAACGGTAAAACATCGTTGAGTGCTAATTGGATAAACAGCCACAGCCGAACACCCTGTGAGACGCACGGATATCTCAGACATTGGTTAATATATTCGTTTTCTCTCTGACCCTCCGTCGGACCCGATTGGCTTATCACTGATCGTACGCGCAATATGAAGGGCTAGGCTGGCAGCTGGCGCACTTCGTTCCCCCCTCCCCCGGTTTCTGTGTCAGGCCATACAACTCGTCGGAAATTTACTAACAGCCATAGTGTCAGTCGATTTACCGTGTTGTCAGACTATGAAACGGACTCATACGCAACCACAGAAACCCGGTGTGGCCGAACAAGCTTTTCGATCATTCGCCCACCAGTTAAAAAAGTTTGGGGGCTTTAATAAAACCACATAATTGATCCCCAGTGGGGTCGATGGATTCGCACTGCTGATGAGACCCAAACAGGTCGAAACA